GTTCTTGATCTCAATTGGTCGATGTGGCGTTTCCACGCTCGTCCGTCGGTAGTTTGAAGGCGGTACGAGTGTGGGCCTGTTGCTTGGGTGATCGTTGCCGGTATCCAGAGGGGGTCCCCGATAAGGTTTTTTGCGTAGACCCTGTCTCCCGGTGCGAATGTTCTGCGTTTGCTGGTGGAGTCAGGGGGTCTTTCCGGGTTGTATGTGGGGTGCAAGCGGTCGAGCGGTGATCGCAATTTCCTCCCCATTAGTAGCTCCACTGGGCTCTTGTTCGTCGTAGTGCTCGGGGTTATGTGCTGAATTAGTAGCATCCGGTTTATTTTGTCTTGTATGTCCCCGGTTTTGATTTTTTGGATGGTCTTTTTTGTGAATTGGACCATTTTCTCTGCCCTTCCGTTCGCCGCCGGGTGCGCCGGTGCCGTTAATGCGTGTCGGATCCCTCGTTCTGCCAAGAATTTCTCGAAGGGTAGTGCGGTGAACTGGGGGCCGTTGTCTGACACGATGACATCGGGAAGGCCGTGGGTTGCGAAGAGCTTGCTGAGTTCTCTGATGACGGCGTCTGTGGTAGTTGTCTTCATGTTGCTTACCTCCAGCCAGTTGGAGTAAGCGTCTACGGTTACCAGGAAGGTGTGTCCTCTGGTTGGTCCCGCGAAATCTACGTGGATCCGGGACCATGGCCCCCGAGGGGTTTCCCATTCCAGGATCGGGGCAGCGGGGGGGTTTGGTCTTGATTCCTGGCACTGTTTGCAGGAGGCCACCCAGGCTTCGATCTCCTTGTCCATCCCTGGCCACCAGGCGTGACTTCTGGCCAGGGCTTTTGTCCTAACGATGCCGGGGTGCCCTTCGTGCAGCATGCTCAGGACTTCTTTTTGCAATTTTTCTGGGACTATGACTCTGTCCCCCCACAGTAGACAGCCTTTCTGCATTGATAGCTCAGTTTGTCGGTTCCGGTAAGCTTTGAACTCGTTGTCCACGTCCTTCTCCGGCCACCCTTTTCCCACCCATCTTAGGACCTGCGCCAGGCGTTTGTCTTTATTGGTTGCTAGGGCAATGTCTGACGCGGTTACGGGTAGGTTGGGTAAGGTCTCGATGCTCAGGGTGGATGTGGTGGGTGCTGGGTCAGCATCCAGGGTGGGCAATGGTGTGCGGCTGAGGGCATCCGCGTGCGGGATTGACTTACCGGGGCGGTGGATTAGCCGGTAATCGTAGGCGGCGAGAAATTCGAACCACCTTGTCATCCTTGGGGAGAGGATGATTGGGGTGGCCCAGTCTCCTGCCAGTATTCCCAGCAGCGGTTTGTGGTCCGTGATTATGGAGAAGGTCCTGCCGTAAAGGTATTCGTGGAATTTCTTTACGGCTGCGACGATTGCTAGAGCCTCTTTGTCCAATTGGCTGTAGTTTCTTTCGGGTTTTGAGAGGGTCCTTGAGAAAAAGGCGATGGGTGCTTCTTTCCGGTCAGCGAGGGTGTGGCTGAGGACGGCCCCTACGCCGAAAGGTGATGCGTCGCACGTTACCGTGATGGGGAGTGTCTCGCTGTACTGGATGAGGACAGCGTCTGATGTGAGAAGGTCCTTGGTTTTGTTGAAAGCGTCCTCTTCTCATCTCCCCCACGTCCAGGTGGCTGCCTTGTCAAGCAGCCTATGCAACAGTTCCGCCACGGTCGCCTTTTGGGGCAGGAAAACATTGTAGAAATTAATCAACCCCAGGAATGCTTGTAACTCAGTTTTGTTTCTGGGTTTCGGGGCTTCTTTGACGGCTTTTATTTTGCCCTCGGTGGGGTGGATTCCGTGCTGGTCTAGTAGGTACCCCAGGAATTCGACCCGTGCCGTGCGCAGTTGGCATTTCTCCCTCTTAACTTTTAGTCCTGCACTTTGGAATCTTTGCAGTACTTCCCTTAGGCGGCCCTCCAATTGTTTCTGGTCGGCCGCGGCTACCAGCACGTCGTCAAAATAGGGTACTACCCCTTTTATGCCCCGGAGGAGCCTCTCCATTAGGCTTTGAAATACCCCCGGGGCTACACTGACTCCGAATTGGAGCCTCTTGCAGCGGAATGCCCCTCAGTGTGTGACTATAGTCTGCGCTTCTGCGGTTTCCTCGTCGACCGGCAGTTGCTGATAGGCTTGGGCCAGGTCGAGTTTGGCAAAAACCCTGCCCCCCCCCCAGTGAGTGTAGAAGGTGTTGCACTACTGGGACGGGGTAGGCGCTTTGTTGTAGCGCACGGTTCAGGGTGGCCTTATAGTCCCCGCAGATTCTCACCGACCCATCTGGCTTTATCGGGGTGACTATAGGGGTCTCCCATCGGGCATGGTCCGTTGGCTCGAGGACTCCCTGCTCGATGAGCTTATTTAGTTGCTCATCGATTTTGGGGCAGAGGGCAAAAGGCACTCGCCGGGGTTTGAGGCGGATAGGGGCAATGGTGGGGTCAAGGCTGAACGATATTGGGGCCCCCCGGTACTTGCCTAGGTTTCCGTCGAAGACCTCTTGGAACTCGTGCACGAGCTGCTCCTCCCAGTCCGCCTCGGTGACGTGGTTGGTGCCGGTCACTTCTAGTCCCAACGGCGCGAACCATTGAAGTCCCAGGAGGCTGGGGCGGTCTCGTTCGACGATGGTTAGGGGTAGCATTTCGGTGCGCCCTTTAAATGTGACCTTGAAGTGCCCGGTCCCTACCACGGGGATGCGATTCCCTTGGTAGTCTTTGAGGATGAGCTTCTGGCTCTCCAGCTCGTGCCGTTTCATGGAGGGTACTAGCCGCTTAATTTCCCGCCACGCGACCATGGATAGGTAAGATCCGGAGTCGACTTCCATTTTGCAGGGGCGGTCTTCGATGGCGACCTCCACGTGGACCTTCCGGCCATCCCAGTTGGAGGAATGGCCAACGATGACCGTCTGGTGCGTTTCCTCGCGCTGGCGGTTTTCGTTGAAACGGCGGCTCCTCGCTTCCCGGCTCCAACGGCTCTCGCTATCCCGGTCGCGGTTCCTTGGGGGGGTGTTGTCGCGTCTGGTATTGTCGCGCCTCCGTGGGCTGCCGTCTCGGTGGCGGGGGCTGTGGTTCCGTTTGAAACGGCAGACCTTGGCGATGTGGCCCCGCTTGTCGCAATGCCGGCATATGGCATCAAAGAACCGGCATTCCGACCGCGGGTGTTCGCCGCCGCAGCCGGCGCATTGGAACTTTGATTTTCGGTTCCGTTGTTCGCACCGGTCGCGTCCCGTCTGCAGTCGGTGGATGTCCTCCTCGTCATCTTCTGAGTCGGAGGGGGATTCGAGATCGCCGTGATGTGTGGAGGCGGCTGCTCGATGGTCGAATCCGGACTGGTTCTCGGGAGTTGCGGTCGCTTCGGTCATGGCGGGTCGCTCTGTGGTGCCGGCTTGCCGCAATTGGGCCGCTGATTTCCGGGTCGCTTCTGCTGCGGTGGCTTCGGCAAGGGCGTCGGCGAGGGAGATGTCACCCTTTGCCATGATCCGGCTCTGCAGGACGGGGTCCCGGAGGCCGAGGACGACGCGGTCCCGCAGGGCTTCATCGAGATCGGTGAACCCGCACAGGCCCCCGAGGTCTCTGAGGTCGGCCACAAAGTTGCTGACGCTCTCCCCTTGCTTCTGATCGCGGCGGTAGAATTCGTGCCGGCGGATGAGGGTGGGCACGGCGGGTGCGTAGTGGCTCCTCAGCAGCGGTTCGAGATCAGCCCAGTCCATGGCCTTTACGTCGAGCGGCTTGGCGAGGGCTTTTGCCATTTTAAACACTGCGGGCCCGCAGTGTGTGAGGAAGACGGCCCTTTTCCTCTGCCCGTTCGCGTCCTTGAGGTTGCTGCTCTCTAGGAACATGAGGAATCGGTCTATGTACGATTCCCAATCTTCCGTAGCTTGGTTGAAGGGAGTGGGTGGCACGTTGCCGCTGGCCATGCTGCCGGTTGCGGTTCCGTGGGCCACGTGCGGTGTGGGACTTGTTTTAAGATCCCATCCTCGTCGCCAGTGTCGTATATCTCATACGAACAAAGGACGCGAGTCAGTGACTTGGTTCAGCTCATTTATTAGGGTAAAACACAAGTGGGGAAAGTGGGGAAGAAGCGCGGCTTAAAAGCACTTTCTGCCGAGTGCTGCGGCCAATCGGGTCGTTTTGAATCGCCCGCGATCGGCTCAGCCAATCGCGGTCGATTCCAAACGACCAATCAGTGCCGCGCACTCAGCCAATCCGGTGGCCGTGCGCTTTAGCCAATCCGGGCTGCCGGATTTCGAGTATGCAAATGTCTGTACAGAACAGTGTCCTCTAACAAAGCAGGCTCAAACCTCCGAGCCAAATCCTCCTCTTCCTCATTATCCAAGTCTGTGTCCTCTAACAAAGCAGGCTCAAACCTCCGAGTCACAACATATATATATGACTTTATGACTGCCATTTTCACTTTTTCTGTGTCCTCCCACCCACATGGACAGCTCTGTTCTCTTGGCAGGAGTGGTTTCAGGATAAGGTTAAAAATGTCAAAACGGTGTCTCTGACAGTGTAATTAAAGCTTGACACAATGAATCTTTATGTGTGTTACACATGTGGCAACCATACCTTGAAGATACCTGTCTCCTTTCTTTTGCCTTTGACAAAGTGCTACTGGTGGTAAAAATAGTAGGACAAGATGCTTCTCTTAATAGATGGTAAAGTAGGGATAGGCAGCTATCTTCACAGATTAAGTTCATACTTCACTCTCAGCCCCCAAAAAGTCATCCACATTTTAGTCTAGACAAGGTTAAACTATTTTGGCTAATAATTTGCCTGGATATAAAACAGATTCCTTTACTGTATTTTTTCAACATTGAAAGTAGAAACTGCAATTGGAGCATGCTTCATCTCCCAAAGTGAAGTTGTTTGAATGTACTTTAAAGATCTGGGTTAAACCTTCCTTCCTGCAAAACCAGAATGTGACCGCTTATGTTTTCCCATGCCAACCACAATGAAGCTTTTGTCAGTATGGTAAACAGGTTACTGTTCTCCTTGGCTGTATTTCCTCCCATTTGTGGTGAAGCTCCCATGGCTAGAAATATCTGGCAGCTGGAAAACTCATCTGAAAAAAAGTCTGTCAGTCTAACTTCAGATACTTAAAATGCAAACCTATACAGTGCTAGGTAAGGATGGATACAATTTGAATGGCAGAACTGATATAGTGCAGGTATAAACTTTTTGGATGAAATACCAACGGAAAGGATTATAGATACTGTATTTTCTGGGAAATGTTAAGAGACCTTTAAAATCAGATAGTCACATTCTGATGTATACTGACTAAAGTCTGGGATTATATAGTAAGGAATACTGACTTAAATAATCAGTGCTCCTAGCAGAAAGGCAGTGTGGTGTTTATGGGCAGAGAAATTTGGAGATTAAATATTATTATTGGGTGGGGAGGAAAGGAATTCTGTGGGATTTTAAGTCAAGATAACATATAATTTTAACATACTAAAATCAAACTCATGGTTTTAATTTGAGTTAGGATTTTAAGAGCCCATCATGATTGTTGCAGATGTAAGTTTCATTTGCAGACACATGGGTAGGGCATTGGAAAGAAAGTGCTCTTTCATATTTTTGAACACAGGAATCTGGGTAGAAGAAGTTATTATGGTAAATAATAACTTTGCTGTACATCTTTCAATTTCACTATAGAAAAATATATATGGATAGAAGCATTCTAAGATTTAAATCCTAGTCTTAAATGGATTTTAAAGCTAAGCAGCTTTGATATTTTAGGTCTACTGTGAACCTGGACATCTAATGCTAGGCAGCTAAACATTTAATGTTTTTCAATCATATTTATAATTTGATTGCAATATTTATTTTTTCACATAAATTCTTTCTATTGACTTTTGCGTTATACCATATTCTGCATCGACAATTTTGCTGTAGTTTTCTGATAACACTTTAAATGTATAGAATATGGTGTCTCTGACTATTTTCTCTCAGATGATTTTTATCTTCTTCTCCTTTATGTGATCTTGTATTTTGAGTTTCCTGAAATTTTATTTATTTGTAAAGAGAGAAAACATTGCTGAAATGAGGCCATCTTTGTAGCTGGTGTAATGCAATACATTACAACTGAGATTAACTATGATTTGTTGAATATGTAATTGTAGGTGGTCGTGTATAATACACTAAACCTAAAACTGTGCTTTATGATTCCCAATAGCCAGTTCAGACAATGTAATGAGTCAACATCACACAAACCATTATTCATTGATTTTCAACCCTGCAGAAGTACAGCAGTTTAAGACTGCACTGGTTAAAGATCACAATGAAGTTTTAAAGTTTGGTTTTATTAGTTTAAGAAAAAGATGATAGATAGAGCTACTCGGTTTTGAACATGGAAAATGCAGTGCTGATCTTTTAGGGGAGGAATGTAAAGTGGGTGTCCAATCTCAGGGCTAAAAAAAAATGTCCAGACAAACATGTCTACCCCCACCCCATATTGTTTGCTGCCATCTAGGGCTTATCTGGATTTTTGCCACCCATGTCTGGCAGCAAATATTTGTGCCTCTGGGCTGGCCTATGCATTTCCCTTTTCAGAAGGTGGTAGATATAAACTGTACACATAATCCAGAGTAGATCCTGTTGTCTTCTAATTAAATTAATGCTATGATATTTATAGCTCATCTCTCTGTAAGGAGCTCAACATACACTGCTCAAAAAAATAAAGGGAACACTTAAACAATGTAACTCCAAGTCAATCACACTTCTGTGAAATCAAACTGTCCACTTAGGGAGCAACACTGATTGACAATCAATTTCACATGCTGTTGTGCAAATGGAATAGACAACAGGTGGAAAGCATAGGCAGTTAGCAAGACATCACCAATAAAGGAGTGGTTCTGCAGGTGGTAACCACAGACCACTTCTCAGTTCCTATGCTTTCTGGCTGATGGTTTGGTCTCTTTTGAATGTTGGCACTGCTTTCACTCTAGTGGTAGCATGAGACAGAGTCTAAAACCCACAAGCTCATTCAGGATGGCACATCAATGTGAGCTGTGGCAAGAAGGTTTGCTGTGTCTGTCAGCGTAGTGTCCAGAGCACGGAGGTGCTACCAGGAGACAGTTCAGTACATCAGGAGACTTGGAGAAGGCTGTAGGAGGGCAACAACCCAGCATCAGGACTGCTACCTCAGCCTTTGTGCAAGGAGGGACAGGAGGAACACTGCCAGAGTCCTGCAAAATGACCTCCAATGGGCCACAAATGTGCATGTGGCTGCTCAAATGGTCAGAAACAGACTCCATGAGTGTGGTATGAGGGCCCGAGGTCCACAGGTGGGGGTTGTGCTTACAGCCCAACACCATGCAAGACCTTTGGCATTTTCCAGAGAACACCAAGATTGGCAAATTCACCACTGGCGCCCTGTGCTCTTCACAGATGAAAGCAGGTTCACACTGAGCACATGTGACAGACGTGACAGGGTCTGGAGACACCGTGGAGAACGTTCTGCTGCCTGCAACATCCTCCAGCATGACTGTTTTGGCAGTGGGTCAGTAATGGTATGGGGTGGCATTTCTTTAGGGGGCTGCACAGCCCTCTATGTGCTCGCCAGAGGTAGCCTGACCACTATTAGGTACCGAGATGAGATCCTCAGACCCCTTGTGAGACCATATGCTGGTGCGGTAGGCCCTGGGTTCCTCCTAATGCAAGACAATGCTAGACCTCATGTGGCTGGAGTGTGTCAGCAGTTCCTGCAAGATGAAGGCATTGATGCTATGGACTGGCCCGCCCATTCCCCAGACCTGAATCCAATTGAGCATATCTGGGACATCATGTCTTGCTCCATCCACCAACACCACATTGCACCACAGACTGTCCAGGAGTTGGGAGATGCTTTAGTCTAGGTGTGGGAGGAGATCCCTCAGGAGACCATCTGCCACCTCATCAGGAGCATGCCCAGGTGTTGTGGGGAGGTCATACAGGCACGGGGAGGCCACACACACTACTGAGCCTCATTTTGATTTGTTTTAAGGACATTACATCAAAGTTGGATCAGCCTGTAGTGTTTTTTTCCACTTTAATTTTGAATGTAACTCCAAATCCAGACCTCCATGGGTTGCTAAATTTGATTTCCATTGATAATTTTGGTCTGATTTTGTTGTCAGCACATTCAACTATGTAATGAACAAAGTATTTAATAAGAATATTTCATTCATTCAGATCTAGGATGTCTTGTTTTTGTGTTTCCTTTATTTTTTTGACCAGTGTATACGTAGTCCTCTGGCCACTCTCTATTTTGTCTCCACAAAGCTTTCGAATATAGCTTATGCAAGGAAATCATAGCTGGCCCAATATCAATTAGTGATCCTCAAGAGCAAACAAAATGCAAGTCTGCCTGGACTTATTCTGCAAATTCTTTTGATTATATGGTATCCCATTGTGATCAGTTCTCTGAAACAGGACTCCTACTCTTCAGTATTACCTCATTTCCTTCTGTCCTTGCTGTGTCTCCTAGACTTTTCTCAGCTCTGCATGGTCTGGTTTAGGACGTAAAGATTTTAATATTAAAACATATGAATAATATAGTGAGTGAAAATGTTTAGGAAAAAAGTCATAGGAGAGGTAGAAGATGAAAACTGAAGAAAATATATAAATCATATCTACTGGAGAAGTCTTGGACAACAATTCCCATCACTGCTATCATTTGCTATGTTGGCTGGGGTTCTGCAGTTTTAGCCAAATTATTTTGCCTGTTGCTGCAGGACTTTTCTAAAAAATTAGAAGGTTTAATATCCTCCCCAGCCTGTAATTTAAGCAATTTAAGCAATGACATAGTTCAGCTCTTTAATTAGTCTAATCTATTATTTGTACCCCACTTTTTGCCTATGGGCCCAGAAGAGCTTTAGAACAGCATGAAAAAAACTAAAACACAACCATACAGAACTGAAAACCCTCTATTATACACAAATAGAAACACAGCAATCCAAAGGATAGTATAATATTATATGACAAAATTATGTCATACTAAATATAATGCCAAATAAACCCAAAGCAAGGGGGAAGATCAGCATTAGGATTGTGGATTAACTCTTTTGTTCCTATAGCAGCTGTAATAAATTTCCTCTAAATCAGGAACTATTCTTTGGCAGAGTGCAAAATTAAAACATAGGATTTACTATAGAATGTAGTAAAGGGGAATTTAGAAACATTTGTGGAGAAAACTATTGATGATATTAGTTATGATATCTGTACATTATCTTTAAATTCAGGGCAAGAGTCCAATTTATATATAATGCTAAGCAATAATATGGTTTGCTGATATAAAACTATGATAGTATTTTGCTAAATTATATTCAGTGGCTTAGCATTACATGTCAGACATCACATCTGTTCAACTAATTCTGGTTAAAAAGATGATATAACCTATGAAACCAACCATGGCCATAAACAATAAGATACTTTGTCTAGTTTTGGCTTAATGCAATGTGTGCCTCACATGTGGGATTTGTAAACCATGGTTAGTAGCTTACTATGATGCAAACCAATTATTCATTAAACCATGGTTAAACAATCCTTGACATTATGCAAACCAAGTGAGTGTATCTCACAATATCCACTGTCAGAAAGTATGAGTTACATTGAGAGAGTCCCAAATAATAAGATCTCTCCCATCCATGGTTTGACTGAGGAAGACAAGATCATCTTGGTGTATTATAATCAAAACCTGGGCCAGAGAACTGAAGATTTCTTTCACCTCTCTTCTCTTAGGCATTTGAAGAGAGACAGAGATAATTTTGGTATTTTATACAAATGTTCTTTCTCTCTCCTGAATTTCTAGTACAAATCTAAAGTGGCTGTAGCCTGTATCTTGTGGTGGACAAACCAGGAATTCTGGTGAACTGATCACATTACTGCCTAACAATTCCCCTGCCTGGTTTCACAGCTTAATAAGATGCTACTAGGAAGTTAAACAGAGTGAATATACAATTCACATATTAGCTGAGTGGGGTGGTAAAACTACAAATCAGTCTATAAATCAATTTTACAAAGTTAGGCAGAAACACTATCAAGAATTCCAAAAGGTTGTTCATCATCAAGGTTCTAAGGATGCAAGCTGTGGTAAACAAGTCCAACTGAGAAGTTCAAGGAATCACTGAAATCAAACAAGAGATGCTTAGCACCAACAATTGGTTGTCACTAATACAAGGTTTCTGTGAGGCATAAGCTTTCTAAAAAGTCTTAAATATATCCATCTCCTATATTCCTCACATAAGTGCAACTGAAGGTTTGCAGCCTTGATTTTGTCATCATCAGTCTTCCTTAGAGGCACCTCCTTTTTTTAAAACCAGAATTGTTTCTGTCCCTCTACCCCTATCTTATACATTCTCACCAAGGGGGCTTCAAGGCCTTGGCTCTAATTCCAGATCTGAAACTTCAGTTTCAAAGTCAGGTATAGTAGAACCTGCTTCTGGCATTTTAGTCCTATTACTGGGGCTTGGTTTCTTGGTATCCAAAATACCAGATTCCTCACCCTGATCATTTCTTGAGTAAGAGGCTATCACCATAACTTTACTCCTCTCTTCACAGTGTCCCTTCCGCTTTTCTGTGGCCTTAATTTGGGGAGTTCTGATAGAACTAAGAAATTAAACATTGGTTTTCTTCAGGATCTCTCTTCTGGCCCATAGACTTCTCAGCTGATGTAAGGTCCCCACCCCACCACCTGTGGTATCAAGAATCCAAACTCTGCTGTATATTATACTTCCTTTCATCTGTTGTTTCATACTAATGGTATGGAACGCAATACAGAACTGGAGGTTCTAGACAGTCTAGATTCTAGAACTAGAAGGTGATTGTAGTATCTGGATTAAAAAAGGGAGAGCTGGAACTTGCAATGCAATGCTGGAGAAGGCTGGTTTTCTCTAACGGTTTCTAATTTTCATGTCCCACCTTTCATAGGCAGATATTTGTAGATAACCACAATTTCTGCCTATTTGAAGGGAAAATCCTGCTTATTATCAGTAGTCTGCAAAACATTGTAACCTTTCTTGGTTTACTCCCATTTTTTTAAGAATCGTGGGTATATCATTAAAGAAAATATTATCCTTTGAAAAAATTAGCTTTTGTTGCAGCAAAAAGCTAATTTTTTCAGAGGATATTATTCTCTTGAATTACATACCTATTACATGGAATCTAACAACTGGACAGAGTAAATGGATTCCCTGTGCCTTTACTAGGGCCAAAAACTAATATTGGAAAGATAAATGTATGGCCCCATTTATTCAAAGAATTGAAAACCTGATTATACTTGCCACCTATCAGCAGCTTGCCTATTGACGTAACTTTGTATGGACAAATATAATGAAATATGGAACTCATTTATATAAAATACAATAGATTAAAAAGAATGATAGTTTTATATTAGAAGTATATATATATATATATATATATATATATACACGCTTGAATAATACATACCTTAGACAAATATCTAGAGAATTGTAACAATTAATAGTTATAACCATATATTATACTTTATACTTTTTTAAAAAAGCACTTTTATGAATTTTTTTTCCTCTTGAGAATATTTCATAGTATCATAACTAATATAAAAATGTCTTGACCTAATGTTCAGGTTCTTGGGAAATTTTGAAGTACATAAGAACATTTCTAAAATCATTATTTATTTATTAAATTTATATCCTACCCATCTCACTATTTGGGCTGACTCTAAGACTCTAGATCAGGGGTGTCAAACTCACATCGTCATGATTGCATCACATGACGTATCGGGACTTCCCCCCCACTTTGCTTAACCAGATGTGGACATGGCCAACATGTGACACATCCAGCCTGTGGGCTGGAAGTTTGACAGCCCAGCTCTAGATAGTCAAGATACATAATCAGGAACTAATACAACAACTTATCTAATCCAATTTAATCCATAAATGTGGCTTAATAAAGATGATAGCTCCATAGAGATGTTCCAATGGGTCAGAAATTAGATCCTACTGACTTCCGGTTTGAGCTTCTTCGTTGACAGACCGAAACCTCGTCTCTCAGAGGCTTTGATCCATGCTCGCAGCTGGAGCGCCCTGAGCCGGCTGGTTTCGGGGCTAAGCCACCCCGTAGAGGTGGTGAAGAGGGGGGAGACTGCCTGCAGGGTTGAGGAGAGCCGCATCTCTCCTCCTCAGCTGGCCATTACTCCCTTTCCCGAAGGTGGTTGTAGTGGTGGTCAGAAATAGCCACCACAAAGAAGAATTCGACCAGAAAAGAATGTGCAGGAGGAAGATAAGAAGAGAAAGTTTTGGTTGACCGGGTCAAACAGCAAAAGCAACAAATAAGGTACTCTGAAATTTAAACTTAACAACATTGTTCCCAAAGAAGATTTTGAAGCTGCGAAGGAGAGAGAGAAGGGAAAGGACTAGGTTTTTTTTCTTCCCTTCCTTATACTGACAGCTAAGAGACTTAAGCAAGAAATTGAAAAAAAAGTCCACTTTGACATTACTAGGCAGCTAAGCTGAAAATAAAAGTCAAAGGGACAATAAAGATTTCTGGACATTTAAATGTTTTTAAAAGTTGGAAAGGAGAAAAAAAAAGAATAGAAGGGCAGGATCTGGAAAAATGGAGGAGACTGCCTGAAATTAAGGAATGGAACTGTAATTAAAAGGAACTTACAGTGAAATTTTAACAAGATTCCTCAAATATACATTTTAATGGAAACTTGGTAACAAAATAATAGAACCCCAGGAAAAGAAAGTGGAAAAAAGAAGCAAGTAGAAACAGCCTTGGATTATTTGGATTACTTGGTGATTTTTGGTTTTTGCATCTAGATGACTAAAATTAACTGGGTGGTTGCTTAAAAGTTTTTAAAATGGTATCACTCTTAGAAGAACTGAAAATGGAACTTAAAAAATGGAAAGAAAACGCACAAGAAGGGAGAAGTTCTTTTAGCTTCGTGTTTCAATTCTTAGAAATGGAGATCTGGAACTATGAGAAGCAGCAAGAAACGCTTGCAGAGCAAGAAGATTGGGACAAAGAAGAAGCCATCTTTAATGATCAAATAATTTTAAGTGGGGGGGGGGGAAGAAAAGGGGGGAAAGAGTGAAAGGTTTAAGATTAGAAAAAACAACCAAAAAGAAGAACAATTTGAAAGATAAGTATAATATTAGAAAGCAACAGAAGAGGGGATTACAGATGATAGAGTTAGAAGTAGAGAGACGAGGGGGTAAAAGGGAGGAAGAAGAAGAGGGGGAAGAAGGCAAGGAAAAGAAGTTGTAAAAGAAACAAGAAATGGAGAAACAGGGAAAAGATATAAGGATTGTAACCACAAGTTTGTTTAGAGATAATGGGTGAAAATTTAATTGTAAAAGGGATTCTGCAAAGGTACATAAGATAGCTTTGTTATATTACAAATAGAAATAACTTTAGAAAATATGATGATGGATAAAATATTTATTGTACTGCAGTGGGATGTTTGTTAATAAATAAATGAATTAAAATGATTGAGAGAATTAAAAGGGAACATTTTTAATTATTAGTAATGATTTATAAAAATATAAGTAAGAAATATGGGGGAAAAAAAGCTAACTATGGAAAGTTTATAAGTGTTCCCAAGGAAGCATGATATTCAATTGAAAAGAAATGTTAAAGATGTTAATATTTTAATACATATTAATGATAGAATTGAATTGGAATGGAATGTGTTTTATTTACACACACACACACACACACACACACACACACACACACACACACACACACAGTTTCTAAGCAAAGTAACTTGCTCCAAGAGGTAAAGAATTACTCTTGGGCTGGTCAATAAATTAATCAGCCACTCTTCTCATGAGCAGTCATCTGTAACTTTTCACCTTGCATGAAGAAACAACATGCTTTGAGCTAAAAATCAGCAATAGTGTCTGAATTTCAGGTACAGAATTCCTCCTTCCCTCCCTCCCTCCCTTCATTTGTACATAGAAAATTATTTTTCCGACCAAACTGTTGTGCTGTTCATTTTTTTTCTTTCACAGAACCTTTATTTATCCAGCCTTGAAATTTATATCATCTTCTGGGATGCTGGAAGGAAGAGTATTCTATCATTTATGGATAGCCAGCAACCACTGAGGACAGATCTGCTTTTCCATATGAAACAAGAGGAGGAATTTTTAGATCAGCCAGGATATAATTACCTATGTTGGAAGAAAGCCAAGATCACATAAGCTTAGCAACAGCAAAGTCCTAACGGTGCAAAGGGGATTGAGGGAAGCTAAAAAGAAAAACATAATAATGCAAGAGGGATGTTTTTACCATATGAGTAGCAGAAGCTGCTGGTAACTGAATATATATTTCCAAGGTCTAAAATACAAGAAAATTGATCAAAGTCAAGAAGAGGGTGAACCTTCTGTAGAGTTAGCAGTGATGAGGGGCCTATGGAACTGATTAAGAAATCATGAACATGGTTTTTTTTTTATTTCTGCTCAAGAATTAACATATATTACAGTTCTGATGTACTTCAATTCCTGTATAGGGGATAGATAACATGTTACTGACAATAAAATACCACATAACAAAAATAAATAGAACAATTTGATTATACAGTATCTTTATTAAGAACGCTAGTAACAAGCTCAGCTTGCCTAAGATCTGGTGTTCTTTCCTCAGTATCTCCAGATATGGGAAATAAAGCAATAAAGTAGCTACATCTTCCAGGCTCATAGCCTTGTAAGCTCTCTATGTGTATTGATGCTGCACAGCTATTTTGCTTCATTTTTTCCTCAGCAAAGTTCTTTTATTAGTTTGCAGAGAAATGTTTTTTGATGTATGGCAGAACACTTCTTTCTAAATATTTGCAAGACTAGCTTTAACGTTAGAAATATTCTTATCTGAAACAGAAGAGATGCCATCAGTCAGTGAAATTGGAGGTTCTTAGACGAACGGTTTTCCTCACAATATTGCAGCTCCCTGTGTTTCTGTGTTAA